CGCCGTCGGCGGGCGACTTCAACGTCATCACGGCCGTGCTCGAGGCCGTCGCCGCGTTCGGCGCGGGCGCCGCGGGCGCGTCCGTGCTCGCGCCGGGCAGGAAAAGAGTGATTCAAGTTCGCTTCAACATGAATGTTCCGCGCGTGCGCGTTCCGGGAAAAGCATCCACGCGTCGAGGGCGCTCCGAGAGATGATCGCTCGTCCAAAAATTAGCCGAAACGAGTGGAAAACGACCGAGATATGAGCCTCCAAAGTTGGAAATTTCGCACCCTTTTCCTGCCCAGGTGCTCGCGCTCGGCGCGCTCGAGCACCGCCTCGTCGACGAGCGCTTCGACGCCGACGACACGGCGGACTGGGCCGCGGGGCGCGTCGAGGCGCTGGAGCGCGCCGTCGCGCCTCCGGACGGCGTGGCCCTGGGGTGCCGCGCGCTCGCGGACGCGCCGCACCTGCTCGTCGCGGTCGCTCTCGCGGTCGCGAGCCTCGCGACGGCGGACCGGGGCCTCGTCGTCGTCGCGCTCGCGCTCGCGCCCCTCGTCTTCGTCGACCTCGGGCGCCTCGCGGCGCTGCGCGCCGTCGTCGACGGCAAGGCCGCGGCGTTCGACGCGGCGTTCATGGACGCGCGCGCCGCGGACCTCGCCGCGCGCCGCAGCCCCGACTCGGCGGCGCTCGCGGCCGCCGCCGACGACCTGCGCTGCGCCGCGCTCCTGGCGCGCGACGGCGGCGGCGGCGGCCTCGAGCTCCTGGCCGCGCGCCACCTCCGGGGCGGCGACGCCGCGGGGCTCCTCGCCGCGTTCGGCCACCTGCGGCGCATCCGCGTCGCCCTCGGCAGCCGCCGCTGCCGCGTGTCGCTGCGCACGCTGCAGACGTCGGCGCGCGTGAAGACGCTCGCCGTGGGCGTCGGGCGGCTCGCGTCCGCAGGCGCGGCGGCGTACGCGGCGGGCGGCGACGGCGGCACGGCGTCGGCCGTGTCGCTGTCGCTCGCGCTGGTCAACGAGGCGCGGCTCCTCCTGAGCGACCGCCACTCGGCGACGCGCCAGGTCGCGCGCGACGCGGCCGTCGTCGCGGAGAACGCCGCGCGGCTCTGGCGCGAGTCCGGCGCGGCGGAATACGTCGACGACGCGCTCTTCGCGCCGGAGAACCGGTCGTTCTGGCAGTGGACGGCGGCCTACTCCGGCGGCGCGACGGCGGGCGCCGTCGTCGGCGGGCTCCTCGCGGGGCCGCTGGGCGCCGCGGCGGGCGCGGCGCTCGCCGGCGGGGGCGTCGGCGCCGCGCAGGCGGGCCTGCTCGAGGAGGCGCCGGAGGAGGCGGCGCTCCCGGCGCTGCCGGCGCCGCCGCCGCCGGAGGAGACGGACCGCTGGTCCGACGTCGACTCCGACGACGACCCCGTCGACGAGGCCGCGAGCCTCGCGGAGGTCGCCAGGGCCAAGGCCGCCAGGGCCGAGGTCCTACGCGCGCGAGCCGCGCGGCTCGCGGCGGAGGCGGAAGCGGCCGAGGCGCAGGCGGAGGCCGAAGCGGCGGCGGCGGCGGCCTCGGAGGAGGCGGCCTCGGAGGAGGCCGCGGTGTCGCCGGCGGACGCGGACGCGAGTACGGCGCCTGCTCCGGCCGCGGCACCGGAAGTACCTCCCGAACCACAGCTGCCCGCGGA